GAAGAAGCGGTCTGATTCGGGGCCTGAGGAGCGCTCTGGACTCCCAGCCCGTGAGGGCAGAAATGACACCGGACGCCCAGCTCCAACATCCGCTGCGTTGGCAGGATCTGCCCCAGCCTACTTCATTTCTGAAGAGCACCAACTGAGCCGAGCAAGTCATCGCACGGCATCCAAGTCAGCACGACACAAAGGGGCCCAGTTTTCAGAGAGCAGGTGCTCGGTGCTCTTCGGAAAACGGGTTCCTCCCGTGTCTTTACACCTCTTTCCCAAGCCGAAACGCCTCGTGAGCATGCTGGTCCCCACGCCGCTGACCAGAGTCCCTGGCTGAGCGTGTCTCATGGCACTGAAAACGCTGATCCCAGACCTGGAGAGCACTGTGGAAAGAGGCCCGTTGACTTCCACAGGCACCGTATCCTGCCTCAAATTAGCACTCATGGCATGGGAAGCGCTAGCAGGAAAACGTGTGAAATCGGGAGCGCCAAGAAAGCAGCGATTTCTTCCCCCTTTACCGAAATAGAACATTTGCTATTCCTCCCATCCTATCTGCTTCCCATCCCACTCAGCACGTATTTTGAGCCAAGTCTTCGAACGGTGTAAATCAACATGTCTCCGTCGAAGTACAAGAAGTCACAGTAATTTACACCAGCAGGGAAAGAAAGAAAAAAAAAAATCTGGCTGTGATGTAGGGCGATAAAGACAGACACACACACACACTCAACAGGGAGCACACGCGCACGTGCCCGCGCACACGCGCGGGCTGGAGGGCGGCAGAGCCACAAGACGAGCGTGGAAAACCATCAACAAATTAAAAGCGCCTTCCAGGAGGCAGGGGAGGGAAGTGGGGAGGACGGGGAGAAGGCCGAGGGTGGCAGCCGCCCTTCCTTCGGCCGCGTGCACGCCTCGCTCCGGACCCGCTAGGTTTACGGCGGGATTATGTCAGTCCCGCGGAGACCGAGCCCGGGAAGAGAGCATGCTAACAGGAGTAGGCATGCAGGATTTAGACAGAGAAGCATGAAGGAGAAAAGCAGGGGAGATTATTTTCCGTGTCAGCTAGGGGAGGCGCAAAACGGGGCATGCTGGATGGCGAGAGGATTCTGGCTCAAGTGGCGGGCGGATAGCCCTGGATTTATTAAATCCGGGAACAAGGAGGTAAAAGAAAAATGATCCTCGGCAGCACCCGCTGAAGCGCGGCCC